AAAATCGTTCTATCTGCCAAATGTAGTCAATTTTTAAACTGGGTATGCTCGATTTTAAAGAAACTATAATAATATGAGAGTTATAATTGGCGATATTAATTAAATACGTAGAGGTACCTAAGATAAAAACGCAATTTTTTACTATCCCCGACGAAATATAACCTCATCAATTAAAAAAAACTCTTTACCTAGATCAATGTTTAACCTACATCAAAAGAAAAACTATCTTACACACAACAAAACAGAACTAAATCAAAATTAAAACGCATTTTATTGTACAACGTAAACATTGACGCCATTATTCGGAGATCGCTAATATATTTAGATGTTACATCAAACATACGAGTAATAAAAAACGCGGGAACAACGACCCGAGATGACCGAACGACTTCGCAAGGACGTTCTATTAAAAAAAACAGTTCGAAAAGAGTATTTACTCTAAAGCTTTACGATAACATCGCTATAGATAATCTGTGGAAACGTTTAATGGCGGGCGGCGGGAATATTGTATTTATAAATTGTAAGCATTTTATCAATCTCAATCACAGAAATCTTGTCTTGTTTTTATGATTCCTGTTTCCTAAATGGACAGATGCACAGATGAAGAAGTGTGGGAGAGCCAAGCGTCGGCACAAATGGGTCGGCTCCAGTCTAACGGCCTCACAGAAAACCGGCGTGAAACAACCACAGATAAGCTAGTTACTATATCCGAAACCCTTATCCCTAAAAGGCCGGCGACGCACTCGTAAATCCTCTTTGGTGCGTGTGTCCATGGGCGACGCTGATTGCTTACCATCAGGTAATCTACCTACTCGTCTGCCGACATATAAGTACCATAAAAATGGAATGTTTAATGCAGAATTCGCAGTTTATTTGCTTTATAAACCAGACAAAAGCTATGGAAGTTGTTAGGGAGAGGTAGGTATATGTTTAGTTATGGGCTTTTTGTGGCCGATGTTGATAATGATATCTCTTTTTGGGCGTTACTTTATCATTTACATTGTATAACGTAAGATAGTCCACTTTGCAATGTTGCAGTGTTAAGGTGAGGTAGCGATGGTGGCCAGTGACAAAAGTATTCTAACTCAACCGTAATATAAACTATCTATACTAATATTATAAAGAGGTAAAATTTGTAAGTTTTTATGTAGGGGGTAATCTTTGGAAGCGCTGGTCGGATTACCAAAATTCTTTCACTGATAGATAGCTACAATGTTCCTGAATGCTAATAGGCTATAAAACATCACGCTACGATCAAATGGAACCGAGCAGCGGGAGAAACCGCGCGAGATTAGCTAGTTAAAAATACGAAAGTAACTCTGTCTGTCTGGTTTTTCTTCACGCCTAAACTACTGAACCTATTTGTGTGAAGTTTGGTACAGATATAGTTTGGAACTCGAGAAAGGACATAGGATAGTTTTTAAACTAAAAATCTGCAGGAAGTCACTATTCCACGCGAACAAAATCGCGGGCAAAAGCTAGTGTAATTATACTTAAGTATATATTTAATAAAATTTTACACTTTACAGCAGTGTAGAGAGAATTCAGTGAATGTAGGTTAACTTTATGTAGCATATCCATTATAATTTAATTATAAATTTAGACTTTCCACAATGTATTTTAGTCACTCTTAACTGGTTCGCTAACTGGAAAAGTTCAGCATCTGTGTATTTTTTTAAATTTCAGTAAGTACGATTCTTCTCTTTTTTTGAGAGGGGAAAATCATCAAATGACTTCTCCCGTTCAGGGTGAGGCCAGACTCCTACTGACAAAAAACCCCCCTTCTCCTGCTCTGGGCCGAGGTCGCGGTGCCCCCGCAACCATTACTCATGTAATCAATTTCTAAAGAAATTACTTAGGTACTCATTTAATGTTATGTTTTAAAATCATAATATTCTTATCAAGCAAAAAAATGGTAGCTAGGTGATTTAAATCAACATAATATTTTGTCATTACATTCTTTTATAAATTCAGCTGACTAATCGTGATTTTTTTTTATACTAGCCTGCAATTTCGTTTTCATAGGAAGAAAAGAAATTACTTCAGAAAGAATTGATTGTGGAATGAATATAGGTATGTATCCTTTCCCTATGACTGTGTCTATGTTTAATTAAAATACGTATAATAAATTAATTGTATATTTATCTATGTTAAATGTTTACTAACCCAAGTGTGTTGTCTTTCTAGCTAATAACAATAAACTACCGCAAAGTCAATGTTCGACGGGTCTTAAAACTGCCGTCACAACTCGACACTGGCAGAATAGTCGACAACATTGGAGACTCAGTTGCCATAAAGAGGAAAAAAAAGAATATAAGTATGTAGGATTTGTTATCTGTGTCTTTCTACTCAAACCTGTTCTCTATATGTCATTATTTTCGCAGATTTTTCAACTTTAATCTTAAGGGTGACTGGTAGAAAATCCCATATGGCGATAAACTTAAAGTTTAAACAAAGTTGTCCAGTGTTTCTAAAAACAGTGTTTAGAAAGTAACTCTCTGTCTGTCTGCCTATTCTTCACGCCTAAACTACTGAACCGATTTGTGTGAAATTTGGTATGACATAGGATAGTTTTTAAACCATAAATCTGCAGAAGTCAATATTAAACGCGGGCGAAGTCGTGGGCAGAATACTAGTGGTAATATTAGCATATGATTCAAATTCAGAACAGACATTCAGATTTTTTAACTATTAACTAATATAAATAAAATACTTGATGAACCATGTGATTTCTAAAGGTTGGATTTTAGTTTTTTTTTTTTTAGTTCACGAAAGAAAGTAATGTCGACAAAGGCTTTATGTAACAACAAAATTATTGGCATACAATACAACATTGAAATTAGGTATGTCAAAAATGTATTACAAAAAGATGAGATTTTTTTACAGAAGACGGTCAGAAACTGCGATCTGCAAGCTGCCTTTGTGTTTATATAGAAGATATAAATATGTAAATTAAGACATTTACTTGCAATACTGAAGTCACAAGAACATACAGAAATCCTAGATATATACTTTTTAAAACTAGTACCTAGTATAGGCAATGAAACTCTGTTATTCTGCCTGCATCTGCCTTGACCTGCTTTACATTTTTACTTGTATACAACACAATACTGCTAGTTTGCTGACATTGTAGATACCTAGTTCGAATTTTAATTAAATTACCTAATATTTAGTTTAGAAATTGAGAAATAAATGAGACAGACAAAAAAATTTTTAAAGGATACTTAATTATTTATTTACGATGAAAATATCTTCCCAAGACGCTTGTTTATTTGAAAAAAAGACTGGGGTCTGTAGTATTACAATCTCTTTTTGATCATCACCATTATAAAGAGCAATGGTACCTCCTAATAATCAGTTCGGCAAACCCATACAAATATTTGAGGATAATTAATACTATTATCCAACTCGTTACTCTCTTTTAAAACAAGGCAGAATGTTATGTTACACTTCCCATTTACAAATAAAAAAAAATAGGCATTATATTGATTTGGATAATCTATGGTGCATTCATTCTATGTCCTTGGCCTCAAATACAAGGTAAAGCTTACCATGCATAGATAATGATTGCCATTCATTATTTATGCATTCAACCAGCCAATGAGCCTGGTTTGACTACTTGAAGTGCATTTCCTGATTGCTATAAGGCCTATAGAATAATATTGTATCTGTGAACAAGCAAGGCAGCAGTGCATGTATTAATATTATTAATTTTAGTTAAAAACTCTGTTTACATAAGACTGAATTGGAGTTCACAGAAAAGTGAGAAAAACCTATTGGTGTTACAGTCTTCACTGGACACAAGAAACCGGACTTTGCATAATAGATAGTAGATTAATTGTCTATTTAAGGTGTTATCAAACAAAAATATTATTATTTATATAGATAAAAAATTTATTTTTATTTAAAATTATCATTACCATATTGCACAATGATTGCAATCATCCTTAGAGATATTTTTTTTTTATTTGTTACCGACAGAAACCTTTTAAAGGTAAAATCTTGGACAACTAAAGGGGTATAAGAATCTGTTTGACACCTTAATGACATATCAGTCATTCATGACACTTGTAAACAGTACCTAACAAATAAAAAATGGGGAATGCACTTCACATTAGTAAGATTATAAATTGTTATATGTTTTTTTGTTACCATTGCTTAATAATATCATTATTTCAGTGTGTGAAGATGTTTAATAAGTGTTATTTAATTTAATTAGGTACTTCATTGTTTTGATATGCCCAGTCAGTGCCCAGATATTCCATTAAAATATCTCTTGTTTTCTTTCAAGTCTATTGAACTTTCAAAATGTATTTTGGAATAGAACAAAATTTTAAACATTTATCAGTAATAATAGTAATGAAATATATTCTAAATACTAATAAGCCTTTTTATCTATATAAAATATGAGTCCAAATTCATACTTATGAAAGTCTACTAGCCAACACTTTTTGAGAAAAGGCTTCTAAACAACAAACAAAGAAAGTTCAAAACAAAATGTTTTGAAAAGAGCCTTCATGATATTACAAGAACATATAAATAACAGCTATTAAGTAAAAACATGTCAATTCATTTTAATTATAAAACCGGTTTCATGTTAGAAAAAAAAAAAATAAAGTAGGTAGGTAGTTAGCAGGCTTAGATCTAATTGGAGTAAGCCAAGGTACTTTGTTTATTCTGCCTAATATCGATTTACGTGAAACAAATACAGGTTTTCAGGGACGTTAGTTATACTGGTTTTAATAGGATTTCGGTGATTCCATAGAATATAGTAAACATTATTCGCAAATTAAAGTTGAGTCAATAAGATTCAGATAAGAATCGATAAAATGAGGTTTTGTTTGTTTTGCTTATCATAGACACGGTAAAATACTTTTTCCATGAACATATAAGGTTTAGGGAGGATGTAAGTTGTTTACTGTGCCTATAATTAAAAAATATACTAAGGACAGGTAACCTCTAAATATAAGTTGGGTAAAATGTAATAAAAGTATTTTTACACAAAGACTGAAGCACCAAAGGTTTGTTACGCTCCATTAACTCCTATAACGGAAGATAATCCACGAAAACAGGTAAAAGCACTTGGAAAACAGTGAGATTTACTGTTTTTATTAAGTTCCACTTTACACTACGAAACACTCGCGAAATACACTGATATTCGGCTCAAGTTCGCACTTAAATCGTTGTTCGTTTCGCGTAAAACACTTAAAACACGATACAAAGGTTATTTGTAATAATATTTGATGAAATAACATCAAATACAAGATCATACGATATCGGAATCCGTTTGTGACTGACTTCGCCACAATCGAAGACAGCGGCGTGAAAAGCACACGTCATGCAGACAGCTGAAAAGAGACAGAGCTATACAAACGAGAGAGAACTATAATTGCCCTATAGATAACATCCGTCCGATTACGAAAGGTTACCTTCCATACACCTATTGTTATCGTAGAAAATAAATATCCTAAAAAAGCCGTATTTTTGATCATGAATTATTAAATATTGCTTTGGAAAAGTCTAATTAGCAAATTAAGGAACTTGGTAGCAGCGCCATCTACCGAGAAGTAGCGGAATTACTTAGACAATAAATAATGCCACTTTTCGTCAGCAGATGACTCGATGATCGCACATAATTATATCTCTAATGAGCCCTAATCATAACTTACGGTTTGACAACGAAGTAAGTAAGGTAAACAGTAATTTTGTATGTATTATTGTATGTAATTACCTTTACACGCTCTATGTTTCACTTAGAGCGTGAATTTCCGGTGTATTAATAGGTAAGTACTAGTAACATCCATGGAATTTATTAAAGTTGTATTGCCGTCATTTTCCTTGCATCTTGGTAATTTGCTTGATTTCTCTCTACCATACATGTACATAATAGATATATCTTTTAATTTTTAAATACTAAGTCGGTTCTAGTAACAACTTAGGTAAACTAGTGCCATCTATGCGTGCATAGCGAAACTAGCAAGAAGTATGGCGCAATATTGCACAATATTTATCGAGTATTGTTAGACCGTCCCTACCTAATTATGGCGTATGTTTGTATTTTATAACACACGGATAGCGATTACTATTCTTGATGTGTGTTCTAGATAAAAGTATGGATCGATTACTGGAGAATTTTTATATTTATCTGTCTATACAGTTAGGTATTAAATATTGTTAAAAATACCTACTGTTTGTCGATAATATTATTGTTTGGAAATAAAACATGGAAATATAACTTTAAGATTACTTTACTTAATACAATTAGGTTCAATGTGCTATAGCTACTACCTACTTGATTGACTTATGCCTGATTTACCAATAGTCAGATAAATGTTATCTGAGGAATAAAATTGTTGCTTTCACTGTCTTAAACAAACATTCTGACGCGAGAGCATCATAATTATTCCCCAGGCAACTTTTATATCTAACCATTGAAAAATAGAAGCAATAAAGTTACGCATTGTTCTGTGATTAATTATTGATACAGTAAACGGGCAGACTAAAAATAAATTACTTTGTAATGTACCTAATACGGTAGCTTCCAACTAGTCAAATTCAATACTTTTATCGAAATGTCAACAACGATAATTTTCTATGAATCTTGTATGAAATAGCAAGTTGTGACGTCATCATATTTTAACGTCAAATAGTATACTTACTTCTCTTGAACTAACAATTAACATACGAACACCAAGTTTATCGTAAAATAATGAATGAAGGTATGATTGTTTTTCAGTATTTTTATAGTTTTATATGTACGTTGAAATAATTTCTTTTTGACTGAAGATACAAGCCAATTGTTTAAATTTAGTTACACTTTCATTCAATGATTCTACTATAGATTGTGACGTTTGAGTTTGTTTTGGCATTCCAAATCTGAATAGTCAGGAAACTCCGGCCTCATCTAGAAATGTGATAATGTTGTCTTGTACAAGTTTTTACCTACTTTTCTAGGTTTTTAACGAAATAAAACTATTATTTCTTATGACTAACATACCTGCACCAATTTTAAGTAATATTTATCTATCAAAATGTCCCCCACGAAGTGTACCTACCTATTTTAAATATTTGTTTACGGTCTTTGCCCCGCCACGCTGTAGCGTCGTGATTACTTTTTAATCTTTGAACCATAGATTATTATTTGACGTCATATATCGTGTGCCCGCGAAAATGATAAAATGGCGTCGTTAAGATACAGCGTATGTTATACGTTAATACGATTTTCTTAATTATTTGTAGCAAATATGTTGTCTTTAAAAGGCCTGTTGAATTAGTATTCTAATAACAAAAACTATTTTTATGTAAGTAATAATATAACATTTTAAATCACGGTACCTACCTAATTTGAAGAAGTTTTTGTTTATAATCGTTGCCCCCTCTTTAAGATTTTTTTTCTTGTATCATGCCTGCGTTTACTAACATACAATTTCACATACACATCACTAGACCCGGAACATTTTAATATTTTTAATTGATCAATCTCTTCACGCGCGTTCGCCAATTGAACAATTCTGTGTACAAACATTATATAAATACTGTTTAGGTATAGCATTTTTTATTGGGACAGGACAGCAAACGAGCAGACGGATTACCTGATGGTAAGCAATCAGCGACGCCCAGGGACAACCTCTATAATGAAGGAATTACGAGTGCGTTGCCGAACTTTTGGGAGATAGGTGGATTATGCCTCCGGTAACCTTAGTTATAAAACGCTGGGGTTGTTTCACGCCGGTTTTGTGTGAGGCCGTGGTATCACTACGGTCGAGCTGACCCATTCGTGCCGAAGCTTGGCACTCCCACACTTACTATTTGCTATCTAATATGCTTTCATATGTATAGGTAGGTATGTTTATTCATTATTTCCTTTGATTTGATATCAAAGGAAATAACCAAACAATGTGAAGGCGTTTTTAAGTAATCTTAAGATTGACAGATAAGGTTTTTAGCTCGATTTGATAGCGTTAAAATCTATATGTAGGTATAATTCGGCCATACATGAGGATGTTAGTATGTTTGTGGCCCTTAAACGCAAAAATTACTGAATAGATTTGAACGAAATTTGCCACCGATATAGATCATAGCTTGGAAGGAAACGTAACTACTAAACACATTTAAAATTTGAATACTCTTAATTACTATTTTGTAGGTAAGTACATCAAATTGGCTGTATGACTGTATTTTATATTTGACTATTTTCTACCCTGTTTGCTATATTAATAAAAAGCAGTCTATGTGTTAACCTATCTATGTACATACCAAATTTCGACCAAATCGTCCCAGCTGTTTTTGCCTATAAGCGTAACAAACATACATTCTCACAAATATTCACATCCAAAGTCATATTATAAATGTGAAAGTAAATCTGTATGTCTGTCTGTCTTTTTTTCACGGCTAAACTACTGAACCGATTTCTGTGAAATTTTGGTACCTATAGATAGATATAGTTTGGAACTCGAGAAATAACATAGGATAGTTTTCATATCAAAAATCTGCATGAAGTAACTATTTCACGCGAACGGAGTCGCGGGCAAAAGCTAGTTTATTATAGGATTGATAAGATTCAAGATAGGTATGGTTGGCAATAATAATAATAATAGCCAACACGTGCAATATCTGTGATATCAACTGATAAATATTAATGTTCAAGTGTCTAAGAGTAGCGATACACTGCTAGACTTTTCCCGATATCGATAGGGGCGATGATTCAATGAAAAATAAAGTATTTTCACTGATAATTCTTTTATATGGAACTAGCTAAGGCCGTCCCGGCTTCACTAGAGGCCCAATCACTTAACTCTAAACCCCAAAGTTCAACATCATCCTGGTAACTCGGGCGGCGCTGATTGCTTACCATCAAGTATCAGCTCGTTTGCCGACCTATCACAGAAAAAAAACAATAGAAGATCGATGACTATAATCAACGGATGACGTCACATATCTTTTATCACGCAAGTGAAGTTTGTGCGCTAATAAACACGGATAGAAAGTCCCAACGTACGTAACTGTTGGGCAGTTCAGTAGCCTGCTAGGATGATCTCCAGCAATATAGGGCCCCGTCTATCAGTGGTGGTCTATTGGCTCTTTGAGGCGCGCGCGGAACGCTACGCGCCGTACGCTCGGGTCTGGTTCTGGTCGGGCGGCGAGTTACTCTTACTCGTAGTCGCGCTTACGGTGGCCGAAGATCGTCTCTCAATCCCTAACGCCCGGAGTGTCGTCTACTGCGGCGGCTGGGGCTAGGATAGCTCCCTCATGCGACCCACCTCCTTTTTTGCGAGCATAACTGCTTCGCAGAAAGAGGAGATGGCTTCCCGGTTTCTCTCGCTCCGCACTTTGGCCGACTTAGGCCGGACGCGAGGGACCTTGGATTTTCCTATAAGGCCTATAGTAAGAGATCACGTTTCAGAAGCATCGCTAGTGTATCAACAGCACCAATAACGTACAAGATTTTACATAGCGGTATAACAGTTCTCGGCGCAATCAGAACAGGTACAAAATTACGACAATAATCGTCGGGCAGTAGCTCACCAGACACAACACCTGTCTGGTCGAAGTGTAGCGAATAGGCAAGTCACTCGCCCGATCTTCCCTTTTCAAGAGAATGAGGAGCTTTTACCATGTTCTTGCATCCCTCGAAACGCTGATCAGATCACTAAGTTGTTTTTATTGATTAACTTTACTTATTAAGTATATTTGGCATTTTTAATGTCCGGAATGTTTTCCGTAATAGGACATGTTAATAAGGTTAACAGCAAATTGGAAAACTGTCACTTATAAGCACAGGGAATCTTAGTTTACTGAGACTGTGATGTGAAGTTGTTGTACTGTATTTTTTCATCTCAATAAAGATTTTTGTATAATATATTTGTATTTCTATACAATACACTTTAGATTGATATGTCCAGAAGGAGTAGGCTGCGCGACGTTGCCGCGTCCGCGCACGCTGCTCATGAGGAAGAACCCCTCTGTGGTTCGAAACTAGTAGAGCTTTTCTCAACATTTACACGTGAGTATCCCGCGAATTTTAGTTAATGTCCAGAAGACTGCGAAAAAGCCTGGAATAATGAAACACTCCCTTTTTGGGCAGTCATGTAAAAATATGCCACTTACCAGGGTGTTATTATATTTCCTGTTGACAGCAGCCATGTCCTCAGGGTCGGGGCTTAAGCTCCTCATGGTGGGCAGTACCTCGTCCAAAAGCATGGTGTCTGCAAGATCTCGCCGATGTCAGGTCACCTGAGCAAGAAGGTCTTATGTTAAAAAGATGTAATGGCTTTTTGAAAGGTAAAGAATGCGAAGCTTTGGATCGAATGGGACGGTCAATCACACAGAAGTTTAGAGTGCGTTGTAAGCTCAAAATCGAGGATTGAGAGAACAGAGTGGCAATTGGACCACTGTTAACCTCGCTCACTAGAGCAATCCCTCCGGTTGGACCATTTGTGCCGAAGCATGACTCTCCGGGCACTTAAGTGCTGAACAATGCAAACTTTAGGCACAGCATTTGCGCCGATTGAAATTTTTACCACTTTTTTGGAACGGTTTTGTTCGTCATTTATCAGGATTTTTTTTATTGTTTATATGTTTATTGGTGTAGTCTATGCATAAACTATTGGGGGTTTGGATAAGTCCCTCGTTCAAATATACATACTGTATAAAACGAACACTTGACTTGATTCCCCCTAGTAGGCGCCATAATATTTTCGCCCGGGGTGTCAGTGGCCCTTACGCTGGGACTGGTTACAACAGCAGAATCCCATTAATATAATACTTCCGCATTCAATCACATTATTATTTTAAAACATTACGTCTTAAAGGATAACATTGGTTCGTTTAAAACTTTACAATGACGAGGCGATTATTTCCAAATGTTTTGTCAATAGATACGCTGAATCTTCACATTTATTTTTGTTGGTGATGTTTTTGTGTGTTGATAATATTATATCAACGTATTATGAAGTATTAAATTTGCAAATCATTGTAAAGTGACTAGTTTACTAGAAGCTACGGTACTGAAAGTTTAATTCAGTATTCTAGGTAGGTATATTTGCTTTAGATAAATAGATTTCTTGACAA